GGGGGGGGGGGGGGGGGGGGGGGGGGGGGTTGCAGCACGCCGCGTGCTCTGTATCAGTACATATGTGTAAAGCAGAACTAAATTATTAGTTTCAGTAGACTAGCAACTGGTGCTGCAGAGTTTCTTAGTAGACTATGAACTGGTACTACAGCTGTCAGGTTCTTTGGCTGTTCTCGTATTGTATTTTGTATTTGTTATGTAAAGAAAACTCAGTCTCAAGCTACCTCTGCTTCTCTAGGAGGAGAAACAAGCCTGATCCACCTATTGCAATACGCTGTGAAATTTTCTAGAAATTTTTATTCTCTTTAATAGAAAATTTTATAAAATTTCACAGCGAGTTTGATCGCTTCGTGCTGCCGCCTCACCACAGCCAGCAAAAGCACAAAAACGAGATGTTAGTAACCCTTTACTCCTTTATGCTGATTGCTTTCTTATTGACGGCCCTCATATCCTTTGTGTTCTGAGTCGTATTGCATGTGTATGCACTTGCAACGTTTTTCCATCGCCACTTTTAATGAAGTGAATGTTTTCATATTCTAGATTTATTTTTTCAAAGCTCCAACAGCTCTGCTGTGTGCACTTTGCGGTCAACTCAACCCTTCGGGTATGGACTTGGTAAAATATTTGTTCGATGCAAAAAGTACATTCAGTCTGAATTATTTAGACTCCTAGAAACACATATCCTCGCTTTTTTTGCCAGCCAGCCGACGAATCAGAAATGTATAAAAATAAACGAAACGCGGGACAAGCTCTGTTAGCGACAACGAAACCAAAACACAGAGTTTTCTGTTTCTCTTGTTCCACGTCTACTACTGCTTCTCANTGTTAGCGACAACGAAACCAAAACACAGAGTTTTCTGTTTCTCTTGTTCCACGTCTACTACTGCTTCTCAGTAGTGCAGAAAGCAACCAGCTGCTCATGTGGATGGCTATTGTACCCGCTACGTTGCCGGCAGGCCTGTGTATCTGTATATGTTTCCGTATAAAAGAGGTTTCACCTTGTATGCAAGCCCAAGCTCCTTTCCAACGCATCCACCGACAACTTATTTTCCTTGAAATGACTATTTGAACTTCAGTTGCCAGCATGAGCACTGTGAATACAAAAAGCTACAACTGAGCCCTTCTGCTAGATCTGCTTGGCCCCCACCCTCCCCACTCCCCTTTCGCAGATTCAGCTATGGCATATGCAGGAATGGACAGGTAGCTTTCACCTCCAAATCCTAGCCCCAGATAACAGCTCCGCTTTGCCGCATGTATCAAGCAGAGGCAGCTGCGTATGCAGTTTCTCCCGGTACCTCTTCCATACACCACATAATATATTGTATGGGTGCATACATATTCCCCTTAAGGCATTGTTCGCTTCTGCGACAACGCTGCACATTGGGTTGCTTCTCCATGTTCGCAGCTCTCTTCACACGCTTGCAACTTTGAATTATGCAATCTAATTCATTGCACGGCAAGCAGGGGGCCCACTCCCTAGGTTACCGCTGATTCTTTCTTGGCTATTCAGGCTGCTGCTACCGTCTACAATCACTTGCTTTCCCCATTGTGCAGACCAGAGATTCACAATCACGATGTCCAGTTTTTATATTCTAGCCATTTGTAAATATTTATTCTGGCGTCTCAGCTAGGGCGGTAATAAGAGGGGCAAGGTTTCTCTATTTGACGCACACGTACTACACTGCCTGTACGCGTTCAGTTCACGAGCTGCGGAACAGCCTGTTTACGATTGTCCTGCTATGAAACGTTGATACAGAGTTTCGGAATGCACCAGTTACTGCATTCGCTATCATTGTAAACAATTTTCAAACACCTACATAGATTCGAGTAGCCAGCCTGAGCGTAAGTAGCCAGACTGGTTCGAGCACTGTTGTGAGCTGCAGTGAAGCTAGAAGACCTAATATAAGACTTTCCGGAATGCAGATGANGGTTCGAGCACTGTTGTGAGCTGCAGTGAAGCTAGAAGACCTAATATAAGACTTTCCGGAATGCAGATGACCCCAGTTTCTTGCTTCTAGGAGTAATGAGCTCAGCGGCAACGGCTGCAGCAGACGAGACTGCCTGAGATGAGTTGCAGTGTAGCGTGGTCCGTATACAGCCAGTACAGGAGTATTCACTTGGGGTTGGTAGGTCACCTCCAAGTGAATAAAAACGCTTCATAAGTGTATATAGAGGTGAAGCATGCAGCGAAGGAAGCTTGGTTCAAGCTTCGTTGTGTTCACACGTGAGGCTGACCTGCATCGGCAGCCGCAGCAGGGTGTGCTACAGGCTTCCGCCTCCCCGCAACACCCAAGCCCTGAGCCCAAGGCCCAGAGATCCTGGGGATAGGGGGAGGAGGTCACCTGGTTTGGTGAAATTCCTACATAAAGTTTACATATACATTCATTGCGGCTCGCTCCTGTGGTTGGTCGGTACGACCAGAAAGCTAGCGTAATATGCAGCTCAACTCACTGCAAGTATTGATGCAAAAAAACATATTAAGGCAAAACAAAGTTTACTTTGCTCCATTTACTCGGTATGTAGGCACTTTGTGAGTATTTGTATTTCGCTTGCTGGCAGTCTACCGATCCCTCGTCAATGTTTCTGTGCAAGTTTCGGACAGACACCACTACAACGCGATAAAAAGTGAATTTATGCATAATAAACCCTTTTGCATCATTCCGATGCAAGCTCTACTGCGGCAGTAAACTGCTAGGCGCCCACGAAGGCAACAGTACAGAACATAGAAGCAAGCATGGGCGCATGCAGAAACTTGTATGCGGCACAGTAAGCTGCTTCATACTATGATCGTATATAGAGAAGTAACATTTGAGGTCATTGGAATTTATAATGACTCAGNAAGCTGCTTCATACTATGATCGTATATAGAGAAGTAACATTTGAGGTCATTGGAATTTATAATGACTCAGTAAGTATTATTTATAAAGTGAAACTCAAAGAAGTTCAGAAATACAGCAGAGGTTTGGGTATCGTCAACTCACTAGGAAGATGCCCGCCTAGCTGCGGGGAAAGAAGGCTGGGGCTTTTGGGGGGGCAGCGCGGGCGGCTGCCGTGTCGGTGTCCAGTGGATCAAAATTATCGAGTTTTGAATAAAACGAAGACTCTATTCTTTTTTCTGCATGCAGACTTGCGTTTCTGAGGCGTAATATATTCAGCTCGGCATTGAACGACTGCCGCTCTGATCCTCTAGGGTGACGTACCAGGTGGGCTGTGCGCCAGCCGCCGCCACAGAACCTGTTCCCGCCTGAATTCCGCCCGGTATTTCAATAAACTTCTACGAAATGAAGCGAGACTGGAAGCAATGGCTCTTAATTGCCGGTGCGTATTGCCGCAGTAGCTAGCTTCCCCACCTCGCAACCGCATTGACTGCCTTCTTCAGCAGATTCTGTTTCTTCTCATGGTATTTTTCATGGTATCTAACCGTATTTGGAAACAGATGATAACCTGATGTTCATATCTATACAGTCGCTGCGCAGGAATTCCCCTCTGACGTGTCAATCTATGGCCCGGGGCGGGGTCTATGCCTGCTAGCATTCGCTTATACCCAAACCAAAGCAATGCTGCTGCTCTTACCTTTCTCAAGCGTATACAAATACAGCTTCCGCGCAACCCGGGGTCACCCGGGTGTTGTGAGGCAGTTGTTTGCGCTTTTATGAGGGTTGCATTCTCCCCCCGGGGCCCCCTTGGAATAGGATGCGTGTCATTGTGTTTCCGTATTTCATCTGTGGCTATCCGTTGCTGTGGCTTGTTGTGACTTTCACATTTCTCTTTACTTTGAATTTATTTCTTCGGCTGCTTGGATGAAAGCATTGGGCCCTGACGCCTGATGAGGCATTCATTCGCCTTGTAAAGCGAGGAACTGATTGCAGACGCATTCCTGCAATATTTTTTTTTTTTTTTTTTTTTTTTTTTTTTTTTTTTTTTTTTTTTTTTTTTTTCACAAAGTATCACTTCTTTGTTGATGTATCTGCATACTTTTCTGCTGTGGTGAGGTCGCTGATGATAGCATTGGGCGCCGAAACTCATGAGGAGGCGTTTGTTATTGCGTTAAAGCAACTGAAAGCACCAAATTTCATATGGAATATATATATATATATATATATATATATATATATATATATATATATATATATATGTTTCTCTGCGCAGCAGTACCACGTATCCCGTGCTTTGAGCTGCAGAGTTTCTCTTAGACTTAGCGTGATGGTGTTATTGTGTATTATGTATTTTGTGCCGCTGTGATGAGAGCATTGGGCTCGGAGATTTCTGCTGAAGAGTATTTTTTTCGCCTTCAGAAAGCGAATAACTGAGCCAAGCGGCAGCTTTCCTGTTCATATTGATGGCTATTTGGTGTTGCAGTAACCTGCAGTGTGTGAGGTTTCTATGAGGGGAGAAAGCGGCATAGAGGAGCGCACTGTTTCGGGGTTTGTTTGTAGGTGGGGCGGCGGCCACTGGCGTCGCGCTGTATTACTTGCTTAGAGAAGAGGGGCCAGGCCGCAAAGAGAACGAAACGGATGCCAAGAAGTTCAATAAGAATGAGGTAGGCGCTATGGAGCAGAAACACGTAGAAACCCCCAAACACAGCTTCGTTGTAAGCATCAATATATTTTTTTTTTAAACATATATATATATGTTTAATATATATAGTTTATTTTAAACATTTTTTCAGTTAGAAAACACTTTTTTTTTTGTTTTCTGATTTCTATGAACACCCACACCTGGGCCATTGACGCCCACGAAACGGCAGTGTTCAGTGCGGCTCGTCTTCTCTGCAGGCAACAAAGGAACAGGTGATGATGGTGCTCCGAGATATCCTGAATACACAGGAAAAGATGAAGGGGCTGATGAAAAAGTTTACACAAAAATTCGTCGAAGAGGACTACACGTAAGTTGTCAACTCGCTCTGTTGTTGCCTTTCTGGGTTCCTCTCATATATCATGGTTGCG